AAGAATTTGCCCCTCATGTTAAAGTGAAGTTACACACTTAAGTTAAACAAGGACAGTGAAAACATGATGCACTGGTTTTTGTGACAGTTTTCATGGCCAGGCAGGTACTGAAAAACTTGAATAAATATTCAAATATTTTACTTGATGTTTCAAATGTTCGTACTGGTCTTACAGTTCAATACCAGACTAGGTTACTGTGTTTTACTGTCCAATTATGGAGATTCTATTACATTTAATGTTAAGTTATTGTTATTTAAGTTATGGTTATATCCAGTGTTTGATGCTGGAATTATTATTCTTTCAAACCTAAGTATTTAGAGAATAACAAACGTTTACACAAAGGTGCACCTAAAATTTTACTTGAATGTTTGAATTGTGCTGACTAGTCAAAAGTGCTGCTAAAAGTTCTCTGTTTGAAGAATTGAAATAAAAATTAAGCAGCAGTGTTGCACAACTCATGGTTGTGGGCGATGTATTTCTTCCTTTAGGAGAGTAGAATATTTGACAAATGTGTTACTAAGCAATTGTTTAACAGAGGGGAAAAATATCATTTTGGATCGGTATCGGCAGATACTCAAAATTGGGGTATCGGTATTGGTATCGGACATGGAAAAGTGGTATCGTGCCACCCCTAGTATGTACACTACCAGTCAAAAGACTGAATGCAATTTCCCATTCAATTCAATGGGAAACTGTGTCCAAACATTTGACTGCTAGTGTTTAACTGAGGTCTGAAGCCCTAAAAATGAATTTTTTCACCAAAATAACTATAAATCTTGCTAGTACTGTATGTAGACTACAGATAACACAAACACATTTCCCCCACAAACCCTATTTATGTAAAAATGAATTTCTGTACAATCTGTAACCTGACTGTTGTCATAATTCCATACGATTCAGCTTTAATATTCACCTGCTCCCGCCTGCAGTGGTATACTGAATGAGCTGTTGCAAACGCTGTTAGAGGATTTAACAGTGAAATTGAACATGTCACCACATTTCAGGCCTTTGAAGGTGCAGGAAGAGACAGTGCTGTCACAATAGAGTGTGTTTCCATTTATAGACTGGGCTTGGCCATAATAATGCACAGCGTCCTGACTGGCATTCCAAGACAGGATGGCAGAGCCGGTCATACAGTCACTGTCCATTGCTAGACCAGAGGGCTGACAGGGCACTGAGAGGATAGAGAGAGAACTCCTGTCAGACAGTCTAGGATATTTATACATTTATATACAGTTTTGATTTAAAGGATAAAACCATCATTCTCTATATTAACAGTATTTTCAACACTCCCCATACAGAGACTAAAACAGACAACGAAATGCCTCTACTCATGGTTAAAGTCCGTCAATGTGTCAGTCCTGGATCAGCTTATTTGTCTGTGCCACAGACCTCCACTGTTGCTCAAAAATGATTAAAAACACATTAGTGAAACACACCACTGCACTGAGCTAACTCCAGACCTGAGCACAAGGAGCTAGCTGAATGTAAACAAAGCAGAGAGCTCGTGCAAGATCTCACGCATTCACAGCTGACTCTGACTTGTGCTAATTTCAGGAGATTATGGTCACCTGGAGCCTTTGAGACAACATAGATACCTGTTTTAATGTTCTGTGGTGAACTTCTGACGCTGCTGCACTTATTAGAGGATACTGCTACTATGATGCTGTACTCCATGTCACAGCCAACGTCCTGAAGTACACATGAAGTGGAGGAGCTGTTACATGTAATGACAGTTTGGCCATGGCTTTCAGCAGTGACCACATAGATGCCTGTGTCCATTATCTGCTCCCATTCAACCAGGATGGTGTTACTGTTGCAGTCTGTCATCACACTGACGGAATTCAGAGCACACGGACCTAGAGGACAGAACACATTCCATTAATACGTTTGCACCACAGGAAGTTCACCACAATGAGATTGTACTGTATTCCTTTAAATTCCAGTGATGCCATTCTTTTTAACCTTTCAGTTAGACAATGGAAGAAAATGTAAGTTTAAAGGATTCAGTTTCAGTACCTGAAAATCTTAGTCTCTTTCCACTTTGTGGTTTTAATTGTAGCGAATACATGCAGCAGAGAGAGGATTACAGAGGAATTCCTTGGAGTTAATTAAGAGTCTTACTCTCCTCCACCTCAGGGTGGTGGAGACAACACCACTTGTGATAATGCAAAGGAATGCTCTTAGAAATAATAACATTTTCCATCAGCACCCAACAATTCCAAACATCATGCTCAACTCAAAGGGACAACCCTAGAGAATTGAACTAGGCATCCCCTTTCTCAAAGTAAGAATATGAAATTCATATTCAACAACACTACATAATATAGAATTTATGCAGCTGATGATACAAAGACAGGTGACAAATGAAAGGAAACCCCAACATAGAGTGTCTCAGTAAGGTGCTGGGACACCACGTGCCAGCAGGACAGGTTCAGTGCTCCTTGGCATTGATTCTACATGTCTCTGAACTCTGCTTGAGGAATGAACACCGTTCTTCCAAAAGAGATTCCCACATGTGATGTTTTGATGATGGTGGTGGAGATGCTGTAACAAGTTGCTCCAGGAACTCCCGTAGATGTTCAGCTGGATTGAGATAGTGAACTCTCGTGTCCTAAAGGTGGGAACACTGCCATCCTGAAATAAACCACTCAATTGTTCAGGGTTTTCCTTTCATGTGTCACCCGCCTGTAGTTCAAAATATAAGCACAGACTAACTCCAATATTGCAAATGATGAGCTGTAACAAAAAGGACTTTGTTAAGCAGTCTCCACCTGGGAATTAAGACCCCTCCATTGGGTCCCAATATGAATTAGAGAGGTCACAAGCTGATTATGGGGTCATTTAGTATTTGGTTGATGCATTCAAATGACAAAATGCTTCCTAGATATTTTTTCTAGTAAACGTTCATAGGCAGTCGCTTCATAGAAATGGTATTTTGAAAGTAGAGATTTATGTTGAATACCTGTCTGAAGCTCAAAGGGGGTGCTTTGATTGCTGTAACAGTCTTTGTTGAGAGCTGTGACAGAGAAGCTGTAAAGTGTACCACATTTCAGATCTGGCAATTGACAGAGAGAGGAGGTGGCATTACAGCTGGAGTTGTGACCTGTGGCCGCTCGGGCAAATACCAAGTAGCTGAGGGCCCCTTCTGAGTCATCCCAGGTCACCCAGGTAGAGTTTGATATGCAGTCCAGATGGCCCTTAGTGTTCCTGGGCACACATGGAGCTGTGGAGGATCAAATTAAATGATCATGTTAGACTGAAAACTGTAAGAATTGTTTACACCTCAGTCACAAATACATTTTTATCAGCATTTTAAAGAAATAAGCTTATTGACCATCTTTCCAAAAGCAAGATGAAAAGACGGATTCACCAAGAAATAGTTATGGTGTGCAACTTTTATGTAGGGACTAAACTAGATACAACATGTTTAATTAGTGAGCTCTGGTAGAGTTGATAATCACAATATGCAACCCACAATAGGCTAACTGCTTCCTGGAACCAGTTCCATACATACAGTAACTTATATTAGTGTTATATCAGTATGATATCTCATCTACAGTACTTCCTGAAAAAAAAACTACATGTATTTTCAAAAATGTTGAACTGAGGAGAAATGTGATGTAAAATGTAAAACCTAAACCATGCAAAACCATACACAAACAGCAAATATATAAACCAGAATAGCTGCTTTGCATTTGTATGCCTCCACCAACCCGCCAAATTCATGGCAATGGGACAGCTGTGAGAGGATACAATGACCTATGACCACAAAATCTAATCACCCTAAGTGCCAAATTTGAAGAAGATCCTGAGATATCGCATTCACAAGAATCTATCAGATGGACAGACAACCCAAAAACATCATGCCTCCAGCCATGATGATCGCTAGTACAAAGGAGTAAAAAAAAAAACAGCTGTTGTATCTCTCATTGCCTGCTGGTGGTGCAAATGTTTTGTATTTTATCAGCTAAGGTAGGGCAGGTTGGCCTGCTAGTAAATAACCAACTCCCCCTTGTGGAGAATCTGGAGTCTGCTAAGCACGCGTTTAACTGAATGAATTTCGGAGTTGCATAGTCAGTTCCAGCAAATCGTGTGAAAGATGTGTAAAATATTGAATTTACACATATGGAGGACTGCTTGCCATTTACCTGTGGAAGCCTCTACCACAGCCCCCAGGTTGCTGTGATAGCCATCTCTTACAGACAGCACAGTAATGTTGTACTTCTGTCCACATGGTAGATTGTATATAGTGCATGTGGTGCTGCTTGAGTTACAGTACTGTCTCGCCCCGGTGTTGCTCACTGCCACCACATTAAAGTACTGGACATCAAGGTTGAGGGACCAGGACACAGCTATGGCGCCTTCAGCACACTTTGTAACAGCTGTCACATTCTGAGGTGCACAGGGGGCTGAGAAGGGGACAGGCAGAAACAAAGAGTCCCGTTAGTACAGCACTGTTAAACTAGCCAGAGATTTCCATCTTGCTTTAAGGTGCACTGAGGTGGTCATCAAAAGAATACTTCATACACCAGAGAGAAAAACTGTCAAGGTTTTAGTTGTAGAACCCAAATGCAGACAGAGCCACAGAAAAACACATAAAACCAGAAACGAAATGCTGACTGCAAACTATGAAAGAGAGGTGTCCATTAAATGATGATCACCAGCGAGCAACATGGTTATACTGTGTGAACATTGAAACTGGGAATATAAGTCACACTAGGCACTTCTCTGACAACAAGCCAGCAGTTAGTGGACATATGCTCATAAATACAGATTGACTGTAATGAGCTGTGAACTGTCTTTGTTTTACCTCTAAACCAGTGAGTGTTACATCCACAGATCAAGCCGTCCCTGGCACCTCGACATTAGGCACAGGGGCTGCCGGCGACTCCACCCCTGCTCACGTAGGAGCACGCTCCCGGCGGCAAGGCACACCTGCACTCAATTATCAGAACCGTACTTAAGCACGGCGCTGGTGTGTCCTCGTTGCCAGATGATCTTTCATTTTTCGACCGGCAACCTTGCTTGTGACACATCCTGGATCCTTGTCTCTTTCCCTTTAAGCATGGCGCTGGTGCTCATCTTTCGACCGGCGAACGTGCTCGTGACACATCCTGGTTCCTCGTCTCTCCGATAAGTACATGCATGCCATATGTACAGTTTTTGTGTCTGAACCGCTTTAACGGAGGAATGTGTTTTGTTTTTGAACCGACTTAACGAAGGTGTGTTTCTCAGGCACTGGTTACTGTGGATTGTCTTTGTTTGAGTTACTGGCCCCGGGTGGCATAGCACTGTAACTAGCCCCACTCTGCACACCTCAGCACCATAACCTACACTGCCACGTTCTTTTCGACCACTACCGACCTGCTCTGCCATCTGCTGAGACCTCCCGCACTACTCATCTGCTCCAGTCTCCTGTGATTACCTCCCCAGTCAGCCTGGCCATAATGCCCAGGGCCAGCAGTCTTCACTACGCATGTTCCCTGTATGATATTCTAGACTTCTCCCCCTCGTCTTCCTGTAGTCCTCCCTCACTCTCTCCCACACAGTGCCAAACCTCTCCGCCGACCTCGGGTTGCCCTTCCAGTGGTTCAGTTGCTACAGCTACCCCAGCTGCCCTGAGATTCTTCCCGCTTCTCCGTGCCTGGTCCTCACCACCGCCTTTCATTTTTAATACGTTTTCTCTGACCTCGAGTTGAGTCCAGCCTATTCCTGAGTCCTGTCGCTCTGTTGGTGTACGACTTGACGTAACAGCGAGTGTGTTTACACACTGTGCTAGTTCCCATTACTGGAACTAGTCCTACCTCCTGGTGATGAAATTTAGCTCCTGGAATGCACCTCTAAAGTGGGTGGAGGGCAGTGGAAACAAACGCAGAACGCATGACGAGAGTTACTTGGCTCAACATGTTTTGGTATTTTCCACTAATGGAAAAACCCTGACAGGCAGTGTCAGAGGGTACCACACCTGAGGACAGCAGGACAGTGGTGGAGGAAGTGCTGTTGACTGTCCGGCCGATGGCGATGACGGAGATGTAGTAGACAGTTCCACAATGGAGCCCTTCTATGTTACAGAAAGTTTCTGTAGTGTAACAGGACAGAGAGTGGCCATCACTCCCAGCAAGAGAGACTTCGTAGCCCACTGCACCAAGGCTGGCCTCCCACGACACGGTTGCAGTGTTGTTCTGATACGGAAAGCTGGCCTCCACGTTGTTAGGTGGACAAGGCTCTGTGGGCACAAGAAGAGGCAGAACAGGTGGAATGATGCAGAGCGGATGCTCATAATATCATTTATGTATGTTACATAATTTCCTTATTATACATTATTTCCTTCAATTGACAGGAAAATTTGGTCCTAAAATGCTGAAAATAACTAAATATATCCATTACTATTTTGAAGATGATGCTCTCAAATGTTGTGTTTTTCTGTCCAACACCACAAAACCTATAATCATGTAGTTTCTACTATACACTACAAAAAAGCAGCAAATCTTCACAACTGTTAATAAGGGAACGTTTGGTATTTTTGCTTAAAATTTATGAAACAAACATCAGAATAGTTTCAGATCATTATTCAGTTGATCAGCATCAAAGAAAATCCTCAGGCTGTTAAGATCCAAGCAAGTGCAAAGATACATCTTCTCTCTAATAAAGAACAAATTTTAAAAGTTATATTAACATTTTCTCACCTGTTGTAATTGTAACTATTTGATTTGAGGTGGACAAGTCTTGGCATGAAGCATAGCTGTTTGCCGTGACGCTGATGCTGTACGACTGGCCGCAGTTTAAGTTATACAAGGCGCAGGAGGTGTTGCTGGTGACGCAGGAGACCGTGAGGCCCTGCTCTGTTACCCCCTTCACTGTGTAATAATCAGCACCAGCTGCCCTGCCCCACGTCACCTGGCCGATCGACGGGCTGTACTGAGCAGTGATCTGTCCAGGGCTGCACGGCCCTGGAAGAAAACAAGGGACAACAAGATGCAATCAAGTTTCTGGATCAAAAATGAAAATGTGATCATGAAATACAGATAAATCAGACAATCTCCTCCTGATGACAACTTCAAACACTTGATAAAATATGTTATAGGAAGGAAAGAAGCATAGTTTTAGTCTTTATTTGACAGAATGGGGAGAAGGGATGAATAATAATGTAAAAAAAAAA